GTGTGTGTGTGTGTGTGTGTGTGTGTGTGTGTGTGTGTGTGTGTGTGAGTGAGAGAGAAGGGAGTCTGGCTGTGGTTGTGTGTTATGTGCTGATGCATTAGACTGGAGAATCAATTCTTTCAGAGAGAGAGAGACTGATGGTACCAGGCACTTCCACCCCAGAGGGAGACAGATGGAGGGGGGAGAGAGGGAGAGAGAGAGAGAGAGAGAGGGAGGAGGAGGGGAGGGATGGAGATAAACAGAGGCAGTGAAGAGGGAATGTGAAAGAGATGGAAGGGGAGGAAAAATAACTCCTCTACACGGATCTACCTACTCTAAGAAAACTACTCAGAACTCAGACTAGTCGTCCTGCTTTTTAGCACGTTACCAGCTGCTGTTGGCATGCGTAAACCCACTGAGAATATCTGAGAAGTTAACAGAAGAAAACGTAGCTTGTTTCAAACAGTCATTGCATCAGATCAGCGGTTCAGACTGGAGAACTCTAAAATCATTCAAATAAAACGGTTAAAGAAGTAAAACCATCTACTTGTTGCATTTATTTAGGCTTTAAATAGTTTTTTACATGTGTAACGTGAGGTTACACATGTAACATATGCCAGTGTCTCTGGCCTCAGAACAGCGGCTGGGGGTCGGCGACGCACTCAGCTGTGTTATCACTAGCGGCCCCTACCAATCGAGGGGCCAGTGAGGAGTCAGCGGGCAGTCTATGGCTGCATAACACGAGCATTAAAAGGTGTTTTGAGAGGGTTACAGTCACTGTTACCACGATAGGTCCGTGAGTGTGCAGCCATAAGTGAGCTCCGGAAATATGTTGCAGTTTCCTGCAGCAGAATGCGAGATTAGCCGTGGACAGACACAGACCTGCACACTCACACATGCACGCACGCATTCAAGCAATCGCACGATTCTCCTGGCGGAGATAAGAAGACGAGATTTAGTTTACAATGATACAAATAAAAAAGCTGCAGAGCGCCCTATAAAGGCTGGAATTGGAGTTTGGTGTTTTCGCTAAAACGATTTATGGACTATCAAAATAGTTTCTTCTTTTTTTGTTAATCCTTGAACTAACTCAGCTCTGATTTCAGGGTTTTTACAAACTTTACCTCAATTTTGTTCTGAACACCAGGTTCCGTTGAAACGAAGAAGTTTTTTTTTTTTTTTTTTTTGTTTTTTTTAAGTGTGTTCACATTCCCTGATAATCTCACAGACTCACTGACTTGGGTTTGACCTGGACAGGATTGCCAGCATACCTGCTAGTACTGTTGCGCGTGCACACACACACACACACACACACACGCTCACACACTCTTCCGGCGTTACTGCCAGATGTGCGGTTTAATTCTCCACACACACTGACGCCTGAGGAGCGTACAGTGTGTGTGTTGAGAGGTAGGAAGAGACAAAAAACTGAGGAGAATAGACGTTAAATTTATTGACAGTATGACGAAGAAGGAGTTGTAAAAATTGCTAAATGAGTTTGAACTCCTGTTCTCCATTTTGGCCGCGATGGTTTCTCCTCCTGCTCTCTTTCAGCCTCTTTGCTCGAGTTTCTCTCTCGTTGTTTCCCGTCTCTCCGTCGTGTTTATAAAGGCAGAGTCATATTACGCCCTGAGAGTTTCTGCTTGGACCACAGACGGGGGCTCAGCAGAGGGAAGGGGGACGATGTGCTGTGTTTTTTTTTTTTTTTTTTTTTTTTTTTTTTTTTTTTTACGTATGTTGAGAGAGATCATATGTGTATGTGTGTGTGTGTGTGTGTGGTGGGGGGGGTTGATCTTGAGGAGTCTGTCTCCTGTCGAAGAATGTGTGTTTCACTGCCCTGGGTTAACCCTCCCTGTGTGTGTGTGTGTGCGTGTGCGTGCGCAGATAGGGTGAGTAAGAGCTTTGTTGCTGAGTCTCGTCTTAATAAAGGAAGCTTTTGAATTGGTTTCCAAGACGACCAGCGCAGTTGCCAGGGATGAGAAGTGCTCGAGGGCTCGAGGGCATTGAAAGTCTGCAGCTCTGCACGTCGGGCAGCAGAGTTCGCTGGTAGAAACGCATCAAATTTGGGTAAAAATGTCAGAAGAACGGTAGTATAGTACCTGCTAGTAACCCTCACACACACACAATAATATGAAACTGTGACTTTATCTGGACAACGTTGAGTCACACTGAAACTTTGTGACCATGAAGCGTCCGTATCGGCAATCACACAGTCGGACGACGACAAATATTGACACACACACACACACACACACAGCAGAGCTTTGATCGGTGTGTTTGTGAGCTCCAGCTGTCAGTTCTGTCTGTCTGACATCCTGTGGGCACACACACACACACACACACACCACGCGCTGAGCTGATTCATTGGCTCTTATCTCTTGACGAAGTTGCAAATGCTCGCATGAGTTTGTCTGTAAGATTTTTTTTTTTTTTAAAAAGCGGCCATCTTCTTTTTTTAATTGGTGTTTCTTCACGTTTTAGAAGCCGCCGTGTCGCAGAACTGTCGCAGCTTGAAATCGGTGCTTTCACGCTGTGAGTCATCCTCTCTTGCAATGTCACAGCGAGGACACGTCGCACACTGAACGAACGGAATTAACATTCTGCGATTCTTGTCCTTTGAGGCCTGAGGGGTCGACTCTGACCGCGAGTCTTGAACTGTTTTTTTTGGTAGGTTGTGGTGAAAACAGTAAATTCCCCAATGAGCTCTTTTGTGCAATACGATTCCCTTTCAGTCGTGCAGCAGCCAGAGCTTTTCCTCAACAATCCCCATCTTTTTTCCATTTGTACCGAGTCACGTACATTTGTTTTCATGCTGTGGTTTGTGTTGGAGGCTGATGTGTTGAGAGAACACTACAAAACATCTCTCATGTTATGTAATCTGGATTCTTTTTGTTGTTGTTTGGCATTAAATGAATCAATAAGTCGGTATTTAATTGGTGGGGTTTTTAATCCAGTTGGAGATACAGCCTTTAACATTCCTCCCACCCTTCACCTCCTTCTCTCTCCGCACGCACACACACACACACACACACACACACACACTCGTCTGTGCAGGGGGGGGGGGGGGGGGGGCTGTCTGGCGTTAAAGGGGTGTGTGTGGTCTCACAGAGTTGGACAGACTGGAGAGGCTGTTGATAAGAAAACATTTACCCAGATGGACACATCAGTTCCTAAAGGACTGAATTATTAGCGGAGACGCACACAGTAGAGAGTAATAATAGTGCTTAATGGCCTATTAATGCGACTAATTTAAGTATTTGATAGAGATGCTGATCCGATACCAGTGTTGAGAGACTGGGATCGTTCTGTAATGAGGCTGATGGGAATGTCGTTGGTTGTTCGGGTATTTGGTCGTAAGCTAAAGTATTGGACGGATTCTAAATTTGACCCGATGATGATGTTTAAAAGTTAAAGTGATTACAATTCATCATGAGGGGACCATGAATGTCTTTACAGCATGTCATGGCAGTCATCCCGTAATAAACTTTGAGAGAAGCTAACATTAGTTGACGAAATACTTCTAGAAGTTGACCTGGTTGTGAAACTCGCAGCTCCACATCAGCTGGCCCTTAAAAGTTGCTCAACACTCTGAGACGGCCCAGCGAGGCGTGGCGCTTCACTCGGACAGAGTTCTGCCAGAACATGAACCCGAACCTCCTCACATTGGGATCAGGACCAATTTTATGGGAGCATTTCTTCTGTCGCTATCGAAATCGGTCACTTTACTTTCTGTTATTCTTTCTGTCCTTTGTTAAACTTCTTTAACACTCGAGTGAGCCTCGTACACAGCTGCTATTTTTATTTTATTATGTCTCTGGAAAGCTGAGAATCTTGTGATCTGATTGATGCAAACCATTTCAGTGCTGTTCTCAGACCCCCAACAAGCAAACCAGCTCACCTGTGAAGCCTCATTATTAATCCACCGATTGATAACGATCTTGTTACATTGGCAATGGTCCAGACGATCCAAACCAGTAAAACATTTAGTCCAAAACATATTATTAATGTTAAAAGACAAAACTTCTTGCAGTGTTACCTTTCCAGATCTCAAAATCATTATGATTCATCCTCTGTGGACCCTGAATGTTTGTAGAGTATGTCTGTAAGTTTGAGTTGTCCCGTGTTGGGGGGGGGG